AGGACACAGGGAGGGGGTTTGGTGTCCCCAAGGGGGTCACTGGGCCTGGGGACACCCGGGGACAGGGGGACACGGGGGCAAAGCCCCCCCTGGATGGCTCCATGGCCCTGCGATGGGTTGGGTGGCCCCAGGAGAGGTGCTGGTGGCCCCAGGGTGGCTCTGATGGTCCCTGAGATGGTTCAAATGGCCCCAGGATGGCTCCAGGTGACCCTGGGATGGGTCCAGGTGGCTCCAGGATGGCCCAAGCGGCCACAAGGGTGGCTCAAGAGGCCCCAAGATGCCACCACTTGAGCTGTCTCACCTTGATCTCGATCTGCTCCTCCATCTCCTTGTTCTTGATGGTGGCATATTCCTTCTCCAGCCTGCTTGGGACATGAGGATGGAGACCAGATCCCCTGCTCCCGCGCCCCACATCTGCTGGAGGGCCCCAACCCGAGCACAGGAACCCATGTCCCCAACTCACCTCTTCATCTTCTTGGGGTTGTACTTGACCTGGAAGGCCCTAAGGATGAGCTTGTCCGGGCAACTGTCGAACTGGTGTGGAATCACCTTCTGGAAGTACTATGGGGGCAGGAACCAGCCATGAAACATGGTCCCATGGGGGGAAACCAGCCCCACACCAGGTTCAACCTGCCCCAAACCATGTCCCATTGGCCAAAGCCACCCCAAGCCATCTCCCCTGGGTTCAATGAGGCCCAAAGGCCACCAGCACGGACCTGGGACATGCCCTCCATGTCGAGCTGGACCAGCTCTGCTTGGTTGAAGTGCAGCAGCGCCATTCCCACGCGGAAGACGATCTCCAGCCCCTACGGGAAGGGTTCCTGGTGATCCCAGCGAGGAACATTCCCAGATCCACGGGGTTCCTTTGGGATCGTGGCCCCGTTACCTCGTACATGAAGATGTCGAAGACCCGCGTGGCCACGGGCAGGGGGAAGGTGGTGAGGAAGAGGGTGAGGAACCAGGAGGAGGCGTACATGGAGGTCAGGAAGCTCTGGGAGCGGAAGTGGACGTTCAGCTCCGGCAGTTGCTCCTGGAGGGAAGGAAAAGCGGGAAATGAAGGAGGAAGCGGGAATGACGGATGGATTCCGGCTGCTGAGGCTTGGACAGCTCCAGGAGGGTTTGTGGATGGTCCCCATGGGCTCCTGGTGCTCCTCAGAGCGCCTCGTGGGTGGGCCTTGGGGTGTCTCATGGGTGGTTCGTTTGGGTGTCTCACAGATGGTCCCCATGGTCTCATGGATGGTCCCTGGGGCATCTCAGGGGGGTCTCATCTCACCTCATGGGGTCTCATCAATGCCCCCAAGGTGTCCCTGGGGCCCCACTGGTGTCCCCCTTGAGGAACCATGGATGTTCCTCAGGGCATCTCATGGGTGGGCCTTGGGGTGTCTCATGGGTGGTTCATTTGGGTGTCTCAGAGATGGTCCCCATCGTCTCATGGATGGTCCCTGGGGCATCTCATGGGGGCCTCATCTCATGGGGGCCTCCATCGATGCCCCCAAAGTGTCCTTGGGGTCTCACTGATGTCCCCCTTGAGGAATCATGGATGTTCCTCAGAGCATCTTGTGGATGGTCCCTGGGGCATCTCATGGGGACCTCATCTCACGGGGCCTCATCTCATGGGGACCTTATCTCATGGGGGTCTCAACTCATGGAGTCTCATCTCATGTGGACCTCATCTCATGGGGACCTCATCTCACGGGGCCTCCTCTCACGTCATGGAGTCTCATCTCATGTGGACCTCATCTCACGGGGCCTCATCTCATGGGGCCTCATCTCATGGGGACCTCATCTCATGGGGGTCTCATCTCATGGGGGGCTTCACCAATGCCCTCAAAGTGTCCTTGGGGCCCCACTGATGTTGCCCTTGAGGAACCATGGATGTTCCTCAGAGCATCTTGTGGATGGTCCCTGGGGTAGCTCATGGGGGCCTCATCTCACGGGGGCCTCATCTCATGGGGGCCTCATCTCATGGGGCCTCATCTCATGGGGACCTCATCTCATGGGGGTCTCATCTCATGGGGGGCTTCACCAATGCCCTCAAAGTGTCCTTGGGGCCCCACTGATGTTGCCCTTGAGGAACCATGGATGTTCCTCAGAGCATCTTGTGGATGGTCCCTGGGGTAGCTCATGGGGGCCTCATCTCACGGGGGCCTCATCTCATGGGGGCCTCATCTCATGGGGCCTCATCTCATGGGGACCTCATCTCACGGGGGTCCCATGGATGCCCCCAAGGTGTCCCACTGACGCCCCCTTGAGGAACCACAGATGTTCCTCAGCGCAGCCCGAGGTCCGCGCTGCTGCCCCTGTCCTTGCCCCATGGCTCCACCTCCTGGTTGCCACCATGGGGCTGGTGCCCACCTGCAGCAGGTACTCGAACTGGTAGATGCAGAGCCCCAGCTCGGCCATGCTGGGCTTGAAGAGCTCCCGGAGGCGATATTCCTGCATCAGCCTCACGAACACGCAGAAGGCCTCTTCCTCGGGCATCTGCAGGTCCAAAGGGCCACGAATCCAGCCTGGATCCAGCGCTGGCAGCTCGGGGGGTGCTGGAGGAGCCACCCTTGGGTGAAGGGAGGGCTTGAAAAGCCACCACGAACCTGCATGAGCAGCAGTCCCACGATGAAGGCGCTGCCCTGGCAGTATCCCACCTCCCGGTCCACCAGGGAATAGGCCTGGGAAGAAGGAAAAGCATCGGATGCTCTGGATCACAGTGGTCTCCTGGCCTGGAACGGGGCCCAAAGGGTGGTGGGGATGGGGTCATGTCTACCTGGTGACCCTCAGTGGTGTTTAATTGATGCTCTGGAGGGAAGGGATTGAGGGCAACCAAATGACACCAGGTTGGGTGAGGACATGGATCTGCTGGAGGGGCTCCAGAGGGAGCTGGATCCATGGGATGAGGTCAATGGGATGAGGTTCAACCCTAAACCTGCCACTTGGGCCCCACCAACGCTCCAGGCTTGGGGAAGAGTGGCTGGAAA